GGGCATGATATAGTGAGCAAAGCCCGCAATAACCGACACAATAGCAGACATGGTCTGGCACCCAGGTTCTCAAGCCGTGCGACTCGGCTGTTCAGTATCTAGAGTTGTCCATTGTTGCTGGCTCATTCGGCCATAGCAGTGAATCGATTGAATTGGTAGTAAGCGCTTGCACTTCCTGAAATCATTGTTAGCAATCCGATCTAAAGGCTAGAACTGCAGAGAAAGAATGATTCATGGTGACAGATCAGGCGTTTCCGTTTGGCAGGAAGGTCATTCACCACTATGAGGGGAGTTATTCCTCGTAAGTTTGGGGCGACAACAAGACTCATCATATCGAGGGGAGGGCGGGAAAGAGAGAAGGGGAAAGACCTACCAAGTTCAATCCAAGCAATCAGCAGAGTCGCCGCCTGCTCTGAAATAAGAACGCATGGCTGTTTTCTGAGCTCTGCTGTTTGCTGATGCGAAAAAGAAGAAGAGGCTGAACCATCGCAGAATATCTCGTCTTTTAAGGCTAAGAAAAAATTTGGAGTGATTGGGGTCTGTTGGTCCGTGCATCACGGAGCCACGGAGGTATCTTTCACCGGCGCACCGCTGTCCCGTCCCTGAATGGAATTTGACCGTGGTGTAAAAAGTGCGCCCCACCAAGGCGGGACCAGGCAGTGACTGAGCCTTCACTCTGTGGCTCAGTGGCCCCTGCTTCCTCAAGGTGCGCGGGGGGTTCAAATGCACTCGATGTCCCGCATCCCAAGGAGCATAAAAGACCCCACCAAACACACGGCCGGAGACTGAGTGAGCCAGACCTACAAAGTCGGCGATTAGCCTACCTAATCAAATTGCATGTCCACCCCGCCACCGCGTCTTCTTCACCACCAACTACCAATTTCCGTATAAGTCAACGGTCGACACAAGAATATCACGACTCTTTCCTGCAGTCTCTCATCTCTGCCAAGGCCAAAGCCTAATACTTGTTGAAAAGCAAACAAAATCGACCACGTTTCTCAATCTAGCCAACTTTTCCAGTTTCATCGACACTGTCGTCTCATACCACAACCATGTCTGACCACGATATTGCGGGTAAGTGAAGTTCATCCTTTCCTTTCGCACTCGGGCGCTCTTCATGAGGCTTCTACTTTGCTCCGCCCTTGTGCCTGCCTGGTCCTCACTGCCGGGCCTACAAAGCGACATGCGCATTCTCTGCAAGAGCACCCCGATCCTACCGATGGTCCATGTAAATGACGTTGCATGACGCAGCTTTGTCTGTATCATGCGACGGTCTCATTGCACTTCCTCACAACCAACATGTCGTTCAGTGTGAGGGACACTTACGGGCGTATATACTGCCTGGGTATCTTTCGGGGTTCGCTCAGCCTGATTCTTGAACCTGAAATGCTGACATGACTTTACTAGGCAACGATGACTTGTCCTTGCCCAAGGGTACGTGACTCCACCCCCAAGAGATGCTTGCTCTCGTGGTGCATCTCTTGCTCCCCACTTCGTCGGAGAATTTCAAGCTAATATGCCACACAGCCACCGTCCAAAAGATCGTCACCGAGATTCTGCCGCCCTCAGCTGGCGTTGCCTTCGCCAAGGAGGCTCGTGACCTGCTTATTGAGTGCTGCGTCGAGTTCATCACCCTCATCTCCTCGGAAGCCAACGAGATCTCAGAGAAGGAGGCAAAGAAGACCATCGCGTGCGATCACATCACCAAGGCCCTCGAGCAACTGGGTTTCGCAGACTACGTCCCGGCCGTGCTAGAGGCCGCCGCAGAGCACAAAGAAGTGCAAAAGGTATGTCGAGACTTTGGGCCACCCAGCACACAATCACACACACAAGAACATTTGGTCATTGACAACCTATACAGGGCCGTGAAAAGAAGGCAAACAAGTTCCAAAACAGCCAGATTCCCCTTGAGGAGCTGGAGAGAATGCAGAGAGAGGCGTTTGAAGATGCCGCCAACCGCCACGCTTAAGCTTTGTCGGCATGAAGGAAAAGAATAGGCGTTGGCTGCGTTTGAAATCGCATTACTTTGGGGTTTGGCGTTCAGGGTACATTGGGAGAGACATGATGATTCGACAACGCTGACGAAGGCATGAATCCGGCTCGCGGGCCGTGGTGGGGTTGGCTTTGATGAAAATGATTGTTTGGTATGTGTATTTCAGGTAGTCCTCTCGGCACATCAATATAAACGCTCATATTGATCGGGTCCAGCAACATCTCTTAGTTTCGTTTGCTCCGATGCGACGTCTCCTATCTACATGAGTATACATAATCGACCTATATATATCGAATTCGTTAACATCACTCATAATCAATCTCCCAAAAACCTCAACAACGCCAAAGTTCCCATATGTATACTCATGGAAACCGCAATTCATGTCCCATATATATCCCATCCCAACGTCATATCTACCACAATCGTCGCTGGTAGTACACCCTCTCTTCGCTCTCCGACAGCCGCCTCAGCTCTTCCTTGATCAAACGCCGTCTCTCGGCCCGGCTGATGGGCTTCTGGTTCGACGCTTCGGGGTCCGGGTTCGCTTGGTCCTTGACGTTCCACCCGTTGATATTCCTCTCCCTCTCGTCCATCTTCTCCAAGTCCTCCCTGCTGACTCCGCCCTTATCCTCCTTTTCCGACGGCCCCATCATCTTTTGCCACATGTCGGACGTCCATCCCGCTGCTTTTTGTCCGGCCTTTTGTTTCTTTGATTGCTGCTGCGGCTGCTCCTGCTGTTGCTTGTCGGGCACCGTTGGGTTCACCTCGATGATGATCTGCTCCTGCCTCCCGTTCGCGCCCCCGTAGAGCGGCACAATCTGCCCGTTGCCTGCTGCGTCCTTGAGATGCTCGGGCACGTAGTACGACGCCTTTGGAGAGGGTCGCGTTTCGGGTTTGATGGCCTGGCGCAGCTGGCTCAGCGTGCGTTGCTGGATTACGTAGCCACTAAGAAAGAGGGCCGCGGTACATGAGACGACTGTTGAATTTACGGAAATTGCGTTTGCACGCAAACGCGGCTTGCCGCCTCGCGCGCAGGAACGCATTTGCTGAGGTTAGCCTGTTTGTTCTGTCTGATTTGGGAGTGCGGGACTGGAATGCGGGAACGGGGGGAAGAGCGGGTGTTACCGATGGCTGAGGAGATGAGGACGGAGACTTGGGACGAGGTGAGGAGCACCATGGCAGCAAACTGTGGAATTTTGTGATGAATATATGGTCGTTTTTGATATTTTCAACACTTCAAGTAGATTTTCATAGATGGTTTGAATGATTTGAGGATGATTTAGAGCTTCGATGATGGCGTCGGCTTTTCACCCTTGGCCAGCGTCGTAGTCGTTAGAGGTGCGCGGCGTGAGCGTGAACTCGGAAGTGGGCTGTTTACTTGGTTCGCACGGCAACAATCGATAAGCGCCTTTTCAATTTGGCAACGACATCCCAACTTTTCCAACCTGCGTCACTCGTGAAAGCTCCCGTCGCATCACTGCCCACCCCACTACCCGAAGAGCTACCCTCGACAAATCGCGACTTTCCAATTCCACTCAATCCTAATCTCCATCGACACCTCCCGCATCACAATCGATTCGCAAGGCCGTACACCGTAACCTTAACGACGATACCGTATTACCCTTTTCACGGAAAAAAAGAGACACAAATCGCAAAGATGAGCAAACCCGATCTCGTCTACGCCGACGAGCGGCGCTTCCTCGACGAACGCGGCTCCTCGGCCTCCCTAGCCCCCAACGGCGAGAACCCGGCGACAATCATGGAAAAGGCGGTCCGCGAGCGCATCATCGACTCTTACTTCTACAAAGAGCAGTGCTTCGCCGTCAACGAGGCCGACATTGTGGACCGCGTCGTGGAGCACGTCACGTTTATAGGCGGCACCTCGGGCGTCACGCAGAAGCCCACGCCGTTCCTGTGCCTCGCCTTCAAGCTGCTGCAGCTCGCGCCGTCGGACGAGGTGCTGGAGACGTACCTGGGGTTCGGCGGGGACAAGTTCAAGTACCTGCGCGCGCTGGCGTGTTTCTACGTGCGCATGACGAGGAAGGCGAAGGACGTGTACCTGTTGCTGGAGCCGTTTTTGGAGGATCGGAGGAAGTTGAGGAGGAAGGGGAGGGCGGGAACGAGTTTGACGTTTATGGATGACTTTGTGGATGATTTGTTGACCAAGACGAGGGTGTGCGCGACGAGTTTCAGGGAGTTGCCTAAAAGGGTTGACTTGGTGGATTTGGGCGAGCTTGAGGAGAGGATTAGTCCGTTGGGCGATATTGACGAGCTCCTGGATGATGAGGAAGACAATGAGGAGGAGCATGCGGGAGCGAATGGGGCGGACGAGTCGGAAGGGGAGGTGGCAGAGGATAGGAGCACTGCTGGGGAGCCGATGGATGTGGAAAGGTCGAGGTCCAGATCGAGGTCTAGAAGCAAAAACCGGTCACCTTGAGTATATGGCGAAGGCGAAGAATGATACCCAATCTCTCGCTCCTACCGAGCAGAGTACGAAATAGACAAAAGCATGGTTTGAATGTATGACGCAGATGGACTTTAGTGCTCGAGGAATCTCTATCTCATCAACGTATAATACAATAATGACTAATTATTTAGAGATGCAAAAGACAAAAGAGTTCACCCCCCCGGTGCTGAACTGGGGGCTACATCTCTGGCGCTCATGCTGGGATTCGAACTCGGGTACTCGCTAAGCCTGTCGTCGAGTAGGCTGGTTGGCGTGAATAATTGGTGACCATTAACTATTCCACCACCCACGCCACAGTTTGACCTGACCCCCGACCTAGAGGGCGCCTGCTGTGCTGGTGACGAGAATGGAAGTGAGTAGACCTATAGGGGCTTCTCTCGTGGCGTTGAGGTATCGGATGAAAGGGTGGGTGGGCTGATCCCCCAGGGTATATTCCATTTGTATTCTACTGTACAGTACACTTTTCCAGAGCGCCGCCTCTCACACGGCGACGCGTATTCTTACACAGTGCTTGCCAGCCTTCTGGCGATTGACTTATGATCAAGCAAGTAACTGGCTAAGGAGATTCTTGGCCACGCTGAGCAACCGCTTGTCATCCCAGTACTGACCGATCAGCTGAAGACCCGCCACACGCCGGCTACCGTCCACCTCTTCATCCTCCGACTTGATCTTGGCAGGGATGCTGATGGCCGGCAGCCCAGCGAGACTGGCCGGCACTGTAAAGACATCATTCATGTATACCTGCACTGGTGTCTGCCGCTTGATATCCTCAATACGCGGTGCAAACGTCGGCGCAGTAGGACACAACAAGAAGTCCACCTGCGAAGGGCCGAGTTTATCCTGAAGCTCGACCTCATCCTTCATATCGCTTAAGTCGAACTGCTGTTCGTCGTAGAGGGGGTTCTCCAGCCTAAAGACGCGGTCAAAGTCTCGCTGGACGAGCTTGCGCACCCGCTGGGCTTGGATAAAGTAGTTGTCCATTGCCTCGGAGCTCAAGCTGTAGGCGCCGAGGAGGATGCGGCGTCTGACTTCCTCGCCGAAGCCAAGACCGCGAGTCTTGGAGTAGAGAACCTCGCCAGCGCCATCGCTCTCGTCGCCGCGGGTGCCGTAGCGGACGCCGTCGTACTTGGCGAGGTTGGAAGATGCTTCTGCCGGTGCGATGACGTAGTATGCTGATAGAGCGTGCTTTGTGGACGGTAATGATACCGGAACCACCTCTATGCCGGATTTCTGCAAAAGGTCTGCTGCGTCAGACCAGGCTGCTTTGATCTTGGGATCCAATTCCTCGATATTGTATTCTAGAGGAATGCCGATGCGTAGCCGTGACCGACCAGTGGCCGCTTGACTCTGCTGCTTCTTTCGAAAGCTCTTTGACAAGGATGTCGGGTCCTGGGAGTCATGTTCCGCGTCCAGTCCCGTGCTGAACATCAAATCCTCGATAACATCAACATCCCTAGCAAGCAGACCAACGGTATCCAAGGAGTTCGCATACGGAACAACCCCGAACCTCGACAGCATGCCATAGGAGGGCTTATATCCAACCACACCGCAGTACGCCGCAGGAAGGCGAATTGAACCGCCCGTATCCGTCCCGAGCGCGACGTCCGCTTCGCTTGTCTGAACCGCAACCGCGCTGCCTCCTGAGCTTCCGCCAGCAGAGGTCGGCGTCGCAGACAGCGAATTGAGTACAGGCCCGTGGATCGAGTTCAGCGAGTGGGATCCCATGCCGAATTCATCCATGTTTGTCTTCCCTACGACTTGAGCACCTCGTTTCCGGAGCTGGCGCACGATGGTGGCCTCGTAGGGGCTTTCGTGGGAGGAGAGGATGGCGGAGGAGCATGTTGTCGGCAGCCCTTCGGTCGCGATATTGTCCTTTACCGCTAACTTGAATTTGTTCGGCGATTGGAGTGTAGCTTCGGAGGCATCTGCGGCTTTCCTATTAGCTCTGGCACAATCGAGGAGGGATGGGTGAGCTGCCTCGTACCTGACCGGCACACAAAGTGATTGAAGTCATGATGAGATCGTCTCTGCTGTCGCGTAGCTTGCGCGCTGCATCTTGAGCTCAATGGCCGCAGATTTAGCCGCGAGAGCTTGATATGAGAAGACATGTGGCTGCAATGGCCTGCCGGTGACGTTGTTTCGTGTAGATCGTGGGCTTTTTTGGGGAGCTTCTCGTCTCGGTGAACGTTGGGGTCAATTCACCGAGGACCGGTGCATGACTAAGCTCATTCCGATTTGAAGGTCCGGACCCACGTCCGATGTGTAGACCTCTCTGAACCAAACTCAACTGCATGCGACATTTTGCTTGCTTGACCATGGCCAGTTCCGACATGTCGATTTCATTTCCTAGTTTCCAAGCTGTCGTTTCGACCCAAATGTGATCGGAAGCTGCGCGATACACAGGAGACTATCTTTTGCATTTCATGTTTATGATCTATGGTTTCTTGCCTTGCTACATACTTGGTAAACCATCAGAACCTGCGACATGCTATTGAGCATCCCGCTACTGGCCTGGCTAAAGATTGTGATTGGTGTATCCTTTGCTCCAAGACGTCATGGTCGATGTCTGCCAGATCAAGGATCTCTGCTTGAAGGATTTTTATCTCCTCCAATGCTTCAGCGGAAGGACCATCGTCTTCACGTCTGGCGATGGCAAACAGCTCCAGAACGTCGGGCCCTCGAATGTAGACCCAATCCCAAAGACGTATGCACGTCTCCTCGGCCAATTGTTCTCGGGTCTGTAGACCCAGCAAGGCGGCGGCACAAAAGTGTTAGCCGCATACCAACCCGCGTAAGGCCCTTATCCGTGTTGCAAACGTTCTCGCAGACGGGAATTATCGTCGCAAGCTCAGATGCACTGAGGTCTTCCAAGTCGGTGTTGTTGTAAGCATGGTCATCCATGATACACCCAGACGCATCGGGAAGATTAGTCGTGCCGGCATTGAATGCCTATTCAAGTAGCACTCGCTCAGACTCTCGAGACGTTCTCAATATCAAACGACGGAGGAAGTCGAGTCCGTGAGAGAGCTTTATGACATCCAATCAGTAGTACAGTCGCATACTAGAAACGTATTCAGTTTCACGATTGGTAGAGAGTACTAGCCCATGACTGTATCATCATGTTATCTCTGCCGGTCGTCAAATAGTCGATCTCATATTCGCCGAAAGTGACATCGTGGGCAAGGACGTCGATGGAAGCTGGTCAAATATATATGGGTGAATGAATCGGAACAGATTGTGGTACCCAAGCAACTTACCTTCAAGAAACTTGTCCTCAATGAAGTCATGTACGCAGCCAAGCTGTTCATTCACCCACGGCGGATGTCTGTGGAAGAGCAAGTTTCCCATTCCGGACAGTCCGTTGAAGTTTCCGACCGCGCCGAAAAGGAGGTAGAATAAGTCGACGCGATAGAAGGCACGACAGAAGCGGATGTACTCGGAAGGAGACAGATCGACGGCCTCTGGTGATGCTGCGATGTCAGAGGAGAGGTGAATTCTGGCTTCTGCCGCATAACTGAGTGCTAGAGTAGTCACCCAGTCATGCTTGCGCGACATGCTTCGCAAGAATTCTGAAGATATCGAAGCGGTTCTGGCCACCAACTGTGAAGGGTTATCGTAGAGTAGGTCGAGTAAGGCGCGGATGGAACTATCGTCACCTGGGCTTGGCTTTAGTCTTGACGCTTCCAAAGACGCGACGGCATATGGGAGTAGGTCTAGCCCGATTTTCCGACGAAGAATGGCCAACTCAGTGCCAGCTATCTGCTTGAAGGAGGTATAAATATGGCGACATGCGAGCAAAGCTGAGGTAAGAGTCTCAAAATCGTCCAGGCTTCGCAGAATGGATGACACCAGCTCGCAAGGAATGTCTGCAATTGAAGGCATTCTCACGTCGGCCACGATCTGCGACCGCGATTCTGTCTGGAAAGCGGAAACGGAAAAAAAAAAAAAAAAACCAAAGATTTAAAGCGGGAAAGAGAGAGAAGACCAATGGATTTTCAAGACTCAGTGATGTAAAAGGGAATTCGGGTGGGCGGCAAGGGTGAAGAAGCGATGGGAAGGAAGTTTGTCTCGTACTCACTGTAGGCGGGTGCTCACTTCTTCGACGGCATTCACCTCACCGACCACCAGACTGACCGCCAGCTGCTGAGACGCGAATAACGCCCTATTTTTTGTCTACGAGACGTCACGTGTTTGATCACGACAAAATCTACAGACCTGTTTTCATCTAATAATACCCCCAAAGCTAGGTTCTCTTTCACTTGCCAGTTATCACAGTGATATTTGTCAGTTAGCGTGCAATAGACCGTTGCCAACAGCCACATTCACTACAATACTTTTACCGTAGCTCTATTTATTAATCTTCGCCTCTCATCGAGGTAAAAGTCATGGCAACAGGGCCTTCTCTTATCGAATTAGAAGTCTAATTCGACCGCGGTATACGGCTAACTACGCAGGGGCTAATTAGGGGCCCTATTTATAATTATTATAGCTAGCCTAACCTATAGTTAGAACCTCCTTTTTATACCTATATAAAAATTTATATAGTTTAATTAATCTCTTTATTAACCTACGGTTCGAACTAGTTATTTTATAATAGGAATACTAATACTAATTAGTAATTAAATTTTATTATTATAAATTAATAAGGTATCTCGCTATATAAAAGAAACGACCTCTTAATACTATATAGGATAAGAGATTTATACTAATTAATTTTATAAAAATAAATAAAAAAGGAGGCGATTTTTAAATATTATATAAAATTAAATAATTATAGCCCCTTATTACTTATGAGAGGTCGACGTTTATTATATTAAACTATATTAATTAATAAAACTACTTAAGTAACTAATCTTTTACTATCGCTTTAAATAGCTTTTTTATTAAATAACTTTTTTATAACTAGCTCGTAATTAAAAATTAACTAATTAAATTAATAAAAAGAAATACTTATGTAGTAGCTATTTACTTAATTAATTAATATAATAAATAAGCTTAACAATATAATATAAAAAAGTACTGCGTAATTAAAAAAAGGGATTTTTAAATATAAATATTTTTAATAAGTATAATAAAAACCTATATAAGAGTTATTAAGCTAAGAGATTTATAATATATAAAAAGGCTTAATATTATAAAGATTTTATAAATACGATTTTAAAGCTTATAATTTAAATAATCTTTTTATAACCCCCTTAACTACTCCCTAAGTATTACTTAGGAATATAATATAGAAAATAGTTTAATAAAAAAAAAAAAAATTTAAAAATCTTAATAATATTAAGTTAAGAATATTGTAGATTTTAGAGATTAATTTAAAAAAAAAGTAGCTATTTTAAAATAGTTTTATAACCTCTTATTAAAGTTATAATTAGCTTAAGAAAAGGCTAAAAAAATATAGCTCTAAAAGGAAAAAAAAGGTTTTTTTAAAAAGTTATTAAGGAGCTCCTTTTTTATACTAAGCTCTTAATACGAGATTATTAATTTTAAAAAATTAACTAAGTAATAAAAAGGATTATTAATAAGTAATAATTACTTAATAATAATTAAGCTATAAAAAAAACTATTTAAAAAATATACAATAAGATATTAAGAAGCTATAAAAAAAAACCTCTAAAATAATTAACCCTATTTAGTATAAATAACGAAGTAATAAGTATTTTTAATAAGTTTTTTAAGTCCTCGATTTTATAAAAAAAAGAGCTTAACTTTATTAACTATACTTAATAGCCTATTTAGCTCTTAATAGCTTATTTAGCTCTTTTACGAGCCGCTTAGTATTTATTTTTAACTATTTTTTTAAAATACTACTTTAAAACAAGTAAGTTAAAAAAAGAAATAATTTAAAAATTATAAAAAGTACGAGGCTTAGGAAGTTAGAAATATAAAAAATAATAAAAATTAATAATTAGTAAAAATCCTAAAACTAATTATTATATCTTTTTATAGTAATATAAACGTTTACCGCTATTATTAAAAAAAGGAGCTACTAAAGCTTACTTTTTTATACTAAATAAAAAAGAGGATTTTAATAATTATAATAGCTAGTAATTTAAAAAAATAGTAATAATTACTAAAGATAGTAAAAACGAGAGTAGTAATAAAATAGTAAAAGAAAATAAGAATTACTTAGACTTTAATAAATTTATTAAATAGTAAAAGCACGGATTTATTATAATTAGTATATAAATTAAATATATTCTTATTAAAATTAAATACGTTAATAATTACTAATATAAGTATAAGTTAGAATATAACTTTTAATAAGTTAGGGTAAAAGAAAAGAGGAAGAAACCCGATTTTAAATAAAATCCTAATCTTTTATAAATAAATAAATATTAATCTAAATTATTAAGGGATATAGATATATAAAATTACGGATTAGCTTAATAATAAATAAATTAACGTAGTATTAATTTATTTAATTAAGGTTTATATAAAATAGGGGCTATAGGGGTAACCCCTATTTTACGAAATTATAAACGACCTTAATTATTAGCTAGATAAATAGTTTGCGAGTATAAGCTTAGGAATTATAAAAGTAGTTAATAAATTTTTTTATAAGCGAGGAGTATTATTAACATAATTATAATTATAAAAACTATATAAAATCTTAGTAATAACGATTATAAAAGGGGAATTTGTATTATAGAACTAAGTATAAGTTAATAAAATATATAATTATTTTAATAAATTTAAAAAAAGAGTAAATAATTTAGATTTTGTTTTTATAATTATTAACGGTAATTTATTATTATAAAAAGATATATAGAAATAAAATATAGTACTAGATATATAATAATTAATAATTTTATTTATTTTAATTTATAGCTCGTTATTATTATTAATATAAAATTCGGTACTAATTAGTTAATAAGAAAAAAGATAAATAACTTAAAATTATTAATAATACGTAATAACGTAGGGATTATATATAAATATTAAAAATATAATAATAAATACGAGGTAATTTATAGATTTTAAAAAGATCTTTTTAAAAGAAAAATTATATTCTAGGGGGAAGTACGAGGTTTTATAGAAAACCCTAACGATATTTTATAATTATTATAAAAAAGTCGGGATTAGGGAATATTAGTATTATTTAGTAATTAATATCGTATTTATAAGTAAAGTTTTTAATTATTATTACGAAGCGGTACGTAATCTCGATTAGAACGACTTTTTTAGTATTATTAACGTAATCTAAAGCCGCTTTGAGATTTATAATAAGAATCTAAAGCTCTTATTTAAATTATAAGTAATTTTTTTTATATTTATAGTTAGAATAATAAAAAGAAAATTATAAATAAAAATTTTAAAAAAGCTTATTAATTAAATTAATAAGCTAGTAAAAACCTAGCTAAATAAGGGGATTAATAAATAAAAAATTAAATATTTTTATATTATAATTTAGCGCGTATTAAAAATAAAAATAACCTTATATTAAGTACTTAAAAATTATAAAACGCTCTACTAAAGGCTAAGATCTAGTTTTAATATTAAAATAAGAATATTATACTAAACCTACCTTTAAGAGTATAACGGCCCTTATTAATAGTATTAAGTTAACTAAATATATAATAAAAAAAAAAAAGAGACTAAGTATAGTAATTATTAATAAGGAGGCCTAGATTTATTAAATAAGTAGAGATTTAATTTATAAGTAGGGTAATAAAAGAAATAATACTTTATTTATAAAAAGGATAAATATTAGTATTACAAAAGGGATCTCGAGGTAGGTTAGAACGCTACTATATTAACTTAATTAACTAAAGACTTAATATAAAGAGGGAAAAAATAGAATAATAAGTAAAAGTTAATAAGCTAGCTCTTTAGGCCTAGCGGTTTAGCTCGTTACGTAACTATTAAGAGCTTAGCCTCGTAGCTTAAGGCCGAGCTATAGGGCCTATAGGGCCCTAGTACTTATTATTATAATATTACCCCCCCCTTTATACTAAAAGGTACTATTTATAATACTAAAAAATAAACCTCTAAATTACCCCTTATTTTAACGAATTTATAGCTATAATTATTACTATTATATTATTATCGTCCCTTAATAATAGTAAATTGCTAGCCGTAGTAGCTTTTATTTATATATTTAGGTTTTATAGCGGGCTCTTAGTAATTAAGTATTAGTAGTAAAATACTTAGAGTACTATTAGTATATACCTAAAGCTCTTTACGTCGTACTAAGTTAGATTTATATTATACCCTTTTTAATCCGCTTAGTATTATAATTTTCTTTTATATAAATATAATTTAATAATTTCTAAAACTTCGTATTTTAGTTCGCTATTATCGTTAGTAATTAATAATAATAGGTCTTAGTTTTACCTAAGTAATAAGTCGTTAGTAGCTTTTCTTAACTTATTTAGGTAAAAAACTAAGTATACTTAGCTATTCGTTAGTAATTTTATAATCTATATACCCCCCTAACTAGCGCTAATAATAAACTATAGTCTAGCTTATAGCTACTATAACTTATTTATATTAGTAAACTTTTAATATAAAGTATTAACGAAAACCTAATCTCTTAGTTTTAAGTTATCTAGGCGCTAATAGTAGTTAGTATACTTTTTATATCGTATTTAAATAATTTTTATATTACCCTTAGTAGTTTCTTAGGCCTCGTATATTCTTTAAGTTATACGCTACGTATTAATATAATTTAACTTCTCTTTTATAAAGCTAAATTAATAAGTTTACTTAGACTAGTTAAAAAAAAGCCGTAGCTAATAGCCAAATTCTACTTTATATAATAATAGCCCCGTAGTCTTACTAAGCTGGGTAGTATAAGTAAAGTTAATTATAAGTAGTATATTACTCTAATTATCTTAGTACTAGTTAACTAGTAATTTTAACTATTATAAAATATATTA